TGCCTCATCTCGTGTCACGCCAAGCAACCCCTGCACGCTCTCAACACTAGCTAGTTCGGCCGCCCTTCCTGTCTGTCTGTCTGTCTGTCAGTCCGTTTCTTTGTATCAGTTTCATGCTGTTCCATATACTCAATAACCACGCAGGCTGCCACAAAAACCAACGAATAATTAAGTCATAAAAGGTTTGGGGCAACCCCAGGTCTGCCGCATCCCCTCACAGCCGTTCACCCGTCTTTTTTGTTGTTGGTATTTTTTGGCTGCCGCACAGCTTTGACAATTAACCAAACTATAAAATGTTTTAGTTTGAACACCTGAAAATGTGGAGGCAGCCGCAGTCGCCACCGGCGGCGCTTATAGAAAAAGCTTACCCAAAGGACGAGCAGCACACGCCCAGATACACACACACCCATACACGCTTACACCCATTCGCACACACTCGCACACACACACATGTGCACACGCACATTTAAGCCAATTAGCATTTATGTGCGACGCCGACTGCGACGTTCGCATTGGCATTGGCAGCGCCAAAGCGCGTTACATTTTCATCAAACGCACGACACTTTGTTTTAATTTGAGCAACCGCACGCACACACACACACACACACAGGCATGCATGAACTAGCACACACACGCACACAGTGACAGTTGTGTTTTGGTTTCGTCACGGACTCAGGCCTAGGCTCTGGGGCTTGGGGTTTTGCTGGCATTTACAGATTTTTGTTTGTTTGACGCACTTTGCCCCGCAGAGCTCCCAGCGGCCCTTGAACGGGATATTACATTGTTTTGGGCAATTCACTTTTACTGTGATTAATTTAAATGTGCCTCACACACACACACACACACAGCCCGTACAGACGCCCGCAGCTATTCGCTGCCCGCTGCCAAGAGACCCGCACGCAGCGATTCGCAGCCGTGACGACTTTTTATTTATTTTTTCAAGCCGAATTCATGTGCATGTATGTATGCGTGGGTGTGCTGGTGTGTGTGTCTGTGCGTATATCACGTGTGTGGCTTTCATAAATATCTTTCAAACCCACAGCCGCCATTTTAAATCGAATTGCTCATGACACTGATGAATATAATTAGCACTCGAAAAAGACAACGCCCACAGTTGTCGTGTTAATGAGATATATTTGTGCGCCCCAGACTGTGCAGTGTCCTCAATTGATATAATGGAATTGATTTAAGCATAATGCGATTGCATTACATCAACTTATTAATCACACATCCGCTTATTTTTCTTGCCAACTTTCACATGAAAAATACTCTTCGAGCACCAAATGAGATTCCAATTGATGTGAGCTACGAGAGATTTTGCAAGCGCTACCACTTTTAAATAATTGATAAGATAGTATATGAAAATGTTTACTATGATTCAGTTGTCATTTCTGAAAAATCTTGAGTGAAGTCAGCTGAATATATTGTAAATAAATATGGTTTTATTTACCAGGCCAACTTATTTCTATGTCAGTTAAAATGTATAATGTCTTGATCTGACGAACTTTTTGCTGTGTTTGTCTAATATTGCTCAAGAACATATATGCTATATAATCTTTGCTGAAATCCCTTTACTTTTGTCGCACATTCGCTTTGCTGGCTTATTTTTAAAGCCGATTTTAAGCTTTAAGTTTTACACTTTGAAAATCTTGAAATGTTTTTCATATGAAGTAGAGATGTAAGAGAAGTAAGAGGGACTTTACTTTAAAGCAGCTTTTCAGCTGCACAGCTCCAGCTACAGTTGAAGCAAATCCCTAAAACTGTGCAAATAGAGATTTGATGTGAGAGAAAAAACGAATCTGTGGGCAATATAATATTAAATGCGGCAAGCTTTAAGTTTTCACAGAGAGAGAGAGAGAGAGAGAGAGAGAGAGAGAGAGAGAGAAAGAAGGAATGTGGAACATGGAAAATGATTAAAAAATACTCCGCCTCAAGCTGGTAATTAATGAAATGCATCTGGGCTCTGCGACGCGTTCATTTCTCACCTGATGTGTAAATCAATCCCATTTCGGTTACAGCTTACATCTATACCCAAACCTAGATAACGCTACAGTCCCCAGTGTGTGCGTGCTGTGGGCAAGTGTGCGTGTGACAATGCGCAACATATACATGATCATGCATCATAATCCAATACGCAAGCACACGAAAACTTACAGCACACACACACACAGGCGCACAAACAGGCAGACGTACGCACACACACACACACACACACACACAGAGATTCACATCAGTTGCTTTGTAATTAATTACTTCACACATTGACGCCGGCCGTACACACACTCACTCACACACACACACACACAC